TGAAGCAATGAGCATGAAACTGAGCAAACTCCAGGAGGCAGTGAAGGATAGGAAGGCCTGGCGCGTTATGGTTCATGGGGTCCCCAAGAGTTGGAAACGAACAACTTAACGACTTAACAACAACAAAGGTAAGGGAACCCAGGAAACCCCAGCTCAGTGGGGCGCCTGACCTCAGAACGTTCCCTTTGAAAGCAACCAATTTCACCAGAGAGCCTCTCTCTTGGAGTCCTGGCTAATCACCTTTTCCAAGAATTCCTAGAGGAATGTTTTGTGTATCTGGCTCCTGAAAAATAATCTCTTATCTCTCCTTCAAGCAACTACTTTATTTATTTTCATTGATAAATTAATTTCCCTTGGGCTGCCAGTTGTGAGGGTCAGACTCAAAGAAATCTTCCTTTCCCAGTTCAGGGTATACAAATGCAAAGTGTTCAGTGTACACAAATAGAAAATGTATAGATTTAAATAATTAAATCTAGAATTTACATGGATTCTCACCCAAACAGATCTGTGTATGGGAAATTAGGTCATTGCTCCTCTTGAAGCTCTTTCCATGCTCCACACACTTATATGGTTTCTCCTCTATGTGGATCCTCTTATGGGCAATAAGTTGACTGCTTGTCCTGAAGCTCTTTTCACACGCCATGCACTTATATGGCTTCTCCCCTGTGTGGATCCTCTTATGGGCAATAATTTGACTGCTTATCCTGAAGCTCTTTCCACATGCCATGCATTTATATGGTTTCTCCCCTGTGTGGATTCTTTTATGGGAAGTAAGTTTACCGTTTTCAATAAAAGTCTTTCCGCAGTCCATGCATTTATATGGTTTGTCCCCTGTGTGGATCCTTGTATTGGTTGTAAGTGATTCCGTACCAGTGAATCTCCACACCCACTCCATGCATTTATATGGTTTCTCCCCTGTGTGGAACCTTTTATGGGAAGTAAGGGAATAACTATGACTGAAGCTCTTTCCACACTCCAAGCATTTATATGGCTTCTCCCCTGTGTGGAACCTTTTATGGGAAGTAAGGGAATAACTATGACTGAAGCTCTTTCCACACTCCAAGCATTTATATGGCTTCTCCCCTGTGTGGATCCTTTTATGGGAAGTAAGTTTACCATTTTGAGTAAAAGTCTTTCCGCAGTCCATGCATTTATATGGTTTGTCCCCTGTGTGGATCCTTTTATG